AGGTTACAATCCGATAATTCTTCTAAATAATTGGCATATGGAAATATGGGCTTTCTCATTTCGGGAAGTTTGATCTTGCTCGGAATCAGGTTGGCGAGTTCTTCTTCGTTAAAGCACATGATGTAGGTTCTCAACAGAAGTTTATAATTGGAGGGTGTGCCTATCTTGCTAAAGGGTCGTCGCCAAAGCACAGGTACGAAGAGTCGGCACCAACCACGACAGCAAAGTAGGCATTTGTAAATGGATGTAACATCATCTTGTAAAAATTGAATGATCTCGATGATAAGATCATCGTTTAAACGAGGTGAGGTCATTTTCTATTTTTTTGGCCTTTGCTTTCTTCTAAAAAGATAGCAAAGGAGAAAGATTATTATCAAAAGTGAAAGGGGCCCACATTTATAGACATTTTTTAGATGATAATCCTACGTAAACAGAGTCGCACAATGCGTGCTTGTTACGTACAAATTATTTGATGCTACACGGACGTTAAATATTTAATTTCCTTTCTTGGATGATAACAACACACAGTATTCTTTTTGAAGTGAAAAAAGTTACTTCAATAATAAGTATCCCGCTTACTTTTTTTGTTTAGTCGATGCGTCTCTGTTCAATATTAAAGGTATAGATTGCACACTTTTAGTGAAAGTTTCTTATCATTGACACACCTTTGAAAATGATGATGAAAATTCAAATCCCTGATAAGGTTATGCTTAAGGTTACTGAGATATCAATGACTCACATTCAAGCATCAATCAAAATTGGGCTCATTGTGATAATTTCAAAAAAAAAATGACTTTCTCCTGCACAATCTGATCAGCTCGCAGTTCTGTAATGTCATATGGGAGGTGAATTCACAAATATCCTTTTCGGTGCTCTTAAACGCGCGTTACTCATTAATCTTCCCAGGGTGAGCATATTATCGCAAGTTTTAAATCAATCACATTTTGCAACTGAGATGAGTTTAATCACTCATCTACGGAATCGACCGACCGTACAAGCAATATCGGGTCGAACCAATTGAACTTGTAAAAAATTGCACCACTGCACAACCGATGATTCGTTTCTATCAGAGAAAAAATATGAATTTATCAGCACGAATACAGTATATACAGTATCTTTTATAGCTGCAAAGAAAATTAAATTTGCAATCGATAAAAAAATATACAGTATATTATTTAGATATCAAATTACAGTAACGGGGGTTTTTTATATAATTTATTACTGGTTATAAACAAAGCTGCAATGTGGCAGATGTCAAAAAACACCAATCGATAAATAAAAATAAATACTGTATATTTGTTTAAAAAATGAAATTTCGATTTTTCGTATCAAGTTTTTAATTAATATACTGTAATTAAAAACAAAATTTATTTTTCCTTGGTATTTATTTATCTTTGATTTCATAAATAGATAAAATACAAAAGGGTTGATTTGGAATAATCACAACTGTTTATTATTTATACTTTTTTTTTTGTTTGGTTTATGAACAAGTTTCTCTTCTTAACAGTATCCTGCATTATAGGATATTTTAATATTTAATAGAATAAAGTAACTATTATCCACAGTGATGAGTTTTTTTAATAAAATAGCCATCTATACCTTTTATTAATAATAAAAAATTTTTTATACCAAGAACTGTTGATTTTTTAAAAAATATTTGTTTTATTTATTTATATAATTAGAAAAAAAATATTTTTTAAAAATTATTATAAAGAAATATTTAATTATATTGATTTTTTTTAAATTTAAAATTAACAATAAAATTAATAATAAAATTCATAATAAAATTAATATATAATTATATAATTTTTATTTAAATAATTTTGAAAATATATAAATTTACACTAGTCAAAATAGTGTCATTCAACATGTTGCCACTTATTAAACATTTAGATATAGACACATTGATACTTGTCAACAATTATACATATACTAAATAATAAAATTGTTATTTTATTATTATTTTATTTTTATTTAATTTGCTAATATTTGTCAAATATTCAACATATTAATACTTTAATACTTGTTAATTAATTATAATAATTAAAAAAAAATCAAAAAATAATATTTTAAATATTTAAAAAAAAAATACAGTCAAACTTGATTAAACAAAAATCTGTTTATAATGAAGATTTTCTCTTAAGTCAATCATTTAAATATCTGATTAGCTATAATAAATTTCATTAAAAAATTTGATTATAAGAAATTTCTGATTATAAGGAATATTTTTTCTGGTCCCGTCAAATTTATTATAACCAGGTTTGACTATAGATACAAATTTGTATTATATTAAATTTTAATTATATTTTAACTAAATTTTTGTATTTTTAAATATTATACTTGCATTTTAATAAAATTATAACTAAATATTTATAAGAATTACAATATATTAATTTTATATTTTATATTTAAATAGAATAAATTAATTAAAAATATTATAAATAGGAATTATATATTTGTTTTTTTTTTTTTTTTAAGGTGAACGTGCATCGATGCGGATCTTTATTGATAATTACTATCGAGATTGACATCAAGTGTCTTCTACATATAGCTCAATTTCAATTTTTGATTACATTTTCATGTCTTCTATATATAGAATTAACACTGCCTATTAACTATTTCTAGTAACAGCTTACATATCCACCTTAGTAACCCAACTTTATATAAACTTACACCAAAGAGATGCGCCTATACATCGGGTGGGATTAATCCAGGGGATGGAAATCCTGCCATCAGTTTAAACCATCTAAACCTGTTAATCCAATGAGGCGGAGAGCTTGTATACCTTACAGGGATGATTAGAACATCCAGATATCCTGAATACTTTTCGCCTGGTTCTTCAGAAAAGGTATTATACACCTTGTCACCACCTGCGGCTTCGGATTTCCTTTTCGGGTCCTCTTCTTTTAAGCAAGCGCCAGATTGGAATAGCCCCAGGCTAGAGTGTTCTTTGTGCTACAGAGTCTGCCATGCCAGGGGGTTGGTTCGGCCTATTGGGTACAACATACATAGGGGGCCTGTACAATCTACATATAAAAGGACTTCTCGACGATCATCATACACCAACCGGACGATCGTTACGCTGCGACACCTTAACGGGAAATCACAATCTCAACACCTTACTGAATCGGCATGTGAATGGCTTCATATGAGAAACAGCACATGATTGGTTATAGTGCCAGATATCAAATTAGTTCTATTCAACTGCCTTCACCTGGAGTTGAACCAGTATCTTGTGATCTGACTTGTGAAGCACTAATCACTGTGCTATAGACCTACAGGTCTAGGAATTATATATTTGTATTTAATTGAATAAAGTTTAGTATTATATAATTCAATATTTGTTTTATTTTCTAAATCAAAATAAAATTTCATATCTATTAAATTAACTGGTTTAAACTATTAAATAAAAACTAATTTGTAATATATAATATTTAGAAAATTAATCAAATACATAAAAAAATTAAACTTGTTTCAAATATAAATTAATACTTCTATTATAATTTACAAATTAAGCTAAAATAAATAAATCTATTATATTTTATAAAAATATAATAGAATTAAAATTTTATTTTTTATTTAATATCTTTTATATTAGTTTTTTTTATTTCAAATAATTATTGAATTATTAATATTATTTGTAAATAATCTTTAAAAATTTATTGTTTTATATAAAACCTTATAATATTCTATTAATAGATTCAATATTTTAGCAATTAATAATAAATTTAAATTCTTTAAATGTAATAATTCATTCAAACATTTTTTTAATCTATTGATAACTATCTTATAAATATTATACAGTATAAGGTATAGGACCCTATTTCCATAAATTTTTTGTTATTACATATAAAAATGTTTTTATAATAATTTATTTTTTATGAAATTGTATATATATAAATTATAAA